CACCGTGTCCACGGCCACGAAGCTGGAGGTGCGCACGGCCAGCAGCATGGAGGGCCACAGCTCCTTGAAGTTGTCGTTCTGGACGTCCACCACCGGCACCCGCCAGCCGGGCATCGTCCCGCCAAGCTCGCCCGGCCCGGGACGCACGTGTGGGGCTCAGGTCGTGCGCGGGATAACACCCTGCCCCGCACGAGGGCCCTCAGAGGCGCCGCTGCGCTCAGGCTGCCGCCATGCTGCCACTTCCGGGGTACGCCGATGGGGGTCCTTCCTTTCTGCCGTCGCGTCGGGGCTGTCCGCGCAAGTGCCCCTTCGCGACAGGCGCTTGCCTCCGGCAGCCCCCGCGGGGGCCTCGTGGCTGGAGGGCGGGGAGGAATCTGGTGCTTTGATTGGTGGCTGGCCCGCCGGTCCGCCTGTCAGGAGCGCTGATTGGTGAGCGCGCCGCTAATCCCGCCCTTACCTCACCTCGGAAAGAGATCTGGTCCGCCCGCCTCTTCCGCCCTTCCGGCGCTCGTTCTGATTGGCTCCTGTTCAGCGGGGAGGGAAGCTCTGATTGGTCCCCGCGACACGGAAGTGTTTCCCCGGGAAAATCCAGCGTGCGGGTAAAGGGGGAATGGGAATCGCGTCGGGGCATGCGGGGCCCGGAGGCTGCTAGCCTTTCAGCGCGCGGTCCGGTCCACAGTGCATGGTCTGTGGTGTGTGGTCCATAGACCACGGTGCATGGTCCACAGCCTCCAGTCCGCAGTGTGCGGTGCATGGTTCATCGTGCACGGTCCACAGTGCGTGGTCCACAGCATGCGGTGCATGGTGCGTGGTCCATAGTGCGAGGTCCATGGTGCATGGTCTCCAGTGCGGTCCACGGACCAGGGTGCATGGTCCACAGTCCCCGGTGCATGGTGGCTGGTCTGTGGTGCGTGGTCCACGGTGCCTGGGAGGCAGCTGCGTGTCACTGCTGTTCCCCGGGGGGCTCCCACGTCTGCTAACACCTGCCTCCCCTTGCCCCCAGCCAGACCATGGGCAGACTCCGAGCAGCCGCTGCTGGCATCGGGCGCAGGCCGCAGCCGGGCACGGGGCCAGCGAAGCGATCATCCGGCAGGTGCAGGGAGACGACGGCGCCCCAGAGAGGTGACGCACCGGGAAGCACTGGAGGGGCTGGGCTGGGACGCCAGCAAACGCAGGCCGCCGGCAACCCCTCCGTTGGAGGCTGACCTCTAGGATGCGTCTGGAGGTGACCAAAGAGTCCGGTCCTTGAGCCACAGACCCGCCCGCGGAGGCAGCAGGTCTTTCCGCAGGAGGGAGCAGGGTGCGATTCCTCTCCTCTCTGCTCCGGGGGGCAGGGAGACGCCTCCCCCAGAAGCAGGCTGCTGCTTGGTTGAGGTTGCGGTGCCGTTGGAGTCAGTCGGCTCCTCCCGGCTCTTATTGTTCAGCTTTCAAGCGTGTCCTTGTCGCCTTTTCGGCAAATAGCAGCAGAGCTCGCCTGCGAGTGACGCTGGCTTGGTTAGTTCAGCTCCTGTGAAGCATCCATCTGGCTTGGCCCCGAATTCCCTGTTCTCATGAGAACATAAGAGCTGCTGTGGACTGGGTCAGACCCCAGGTCCGTCTTGCCCGGCGTCCTGTTGCACCGCAGCGCCGAGCGGAGGCTGGAGGGAAAGCAACTGGGTCCAAGCAGGGTTTCCCCCCCGTTCCTCTCCCCCTTGCAGCCTCCAGCAGCGAAGGGCTGATGCAGAGGCCGTGCCCCTCACTCCCGTGCTCGATAGCTCCCGATGCCCCTTTCCTCCAGCACGGGTCTGATCTCTTTGTGAATCTGGCTGGTTTCTCACGTTCCCCCACATCTGGTGGCAACGAGTCCCCCCTTTAATGCCTCTCTGGGTGATCAAGAGCTGCCTTGTGTTAGCTTAAAACGTCCTACCTGCTGGTTTCAAGCATACGTGCTGGATCTGGCCTGCAGAGCGGGGTCATCCAGCCTGCAGACTTTTCCTTGATGCTGGGTGCAACGGGGGATCTTGCCGCAGCGGCAGACAAGTGCCCAGTGGAGCCCCGGATTGGGTGCCGTGCATGTTGGATCCAGGATGCGGGGCTGGGGCAGGGGGAGGAGCGTCTGTGCCTGATCCAGCCTGCGGCACCCGACCGGCCCATGAACTGTTCCCATGACACTTGTTGGGCTGGATGAGTTCGACAGCCTTGCTTTAACACCCACGGGGGAGCTCAGCTCCCTGCCTTCTCAGACCCCTGCCTGGCTCGAGCACTCTTCTCTCACAAGTGGCACCGCTGCTGCTGTGGCGGCTGCCTTCTTCGTCCTCGTGGTCTCTCCAGGCAGATGGAAAGTCTCTTTCCTTCCTTCCCCACTTCCCCGTCCGTCCCTTTAGCCAGTGGCCCCTGATCCTAACTGGCATCTCTGTGCGTGTGCGCAGGAGCGAGCTGTCCAGCGCCTGCCCAGCCGTCTGCCTTCCATCTTTTCGTCGACACAGCCGAGATCGAGGCCTTTCGGACGTCCTTGCTCGCCTGGTATGACAGATGCAAGCGGGACCTTCCCTGGAGGAGACTGGTAATGCAGGACGGGGTCAGGGCTTGGGTTCTCTGTGGGGCAAAGGGACAGGGCCACGTCCTCGGGGCGGCCGTGGAGCTGCAGACAGATTGGCTTTCTGGCCAGTCCTGAAACCAGACGTGCTGGTTTTCCGGTGTGTTTCCAGTCAGTGCCGCGTCCTCCTGTGGCAGGAGATCCTGGGTCCAGCTGTCTGGTTCGAGGTTCCCAGGCTGCAGAGAGGTGTTTATTCACCCTGAGATACGGACTCTCTTGTTCCTCCTCTCTCCTTGCAGGCCGAGAGTGAACCGGACGTGGACAGAAGAGCATATTCAGGTGAGACGGCGTGAAGCCTGGGTTGTCCCCAGAGGCTTCTCTTCTCTGATTACCGGGACGTGCTGGCGTGTGGCGGGATGATCCTTAGCTCGGGGTGGGGGACAGCAGCCGCGCTGTGGACTTGGTCACATCCCCTTCCAAACCCTCCCGCAGCAAACAGCCCGCTGCGGCCTCTTCAGAGGCCAGCCCGTACGTGCCCACCTGCGCCTGAGCCCTGCGGGTCTGTGGCTTGGTCTGAAGCACGGCAGCAGCCTGAGGGAACAGGCAGGTGCTTGGGGCACACTTCACGGCCCCGGTGCTGAGCCTGCCTCAGATACATGCCCCTGCCCACGCGCGTGTGCATGTGTAGGTACCGTATTTACTTGAGTCCAAGACAAGGTATTCCCCCCGTTCAACATGTCCCTTGTCTTGGATTCGAGTGCCGGGGGAGCTCTGACCCCAACCCCCTGCTTGGGGTTGGAGTTCAAGGTGCCTCTTTCCCCCCACTACTCACCTGCCCCTTGCAGCCTTTGCTCCCTGCCACCTCTGCCCCTCTCTGGGGGGCCACGCTGACGGGGGGATGCAGGTGGCAGGGAACAGGCCACATGACCCCCCGCTGCTTTCCGTGCTATAGTTTAAGGTGACCCTCCGATAACTTGATTCTAGACATGGGGGAATTCGAACGTGTGTCTGAATTGTCAGCATCTAGAGCCTCATCCCGGCAGGGGGTCATCTTAAATTTGAAGCTGTTTTGGATTTGGGTGAATACGGTAGCTGTAGGCCAGGCCCTGGGAATCTCTGCTCCCCCCCAGTCCCCCGGGGCGGGCAGGGACATGGCACGAGGAGACGGTGCCTCGTGGGCCCCTGCGACGATGTTGCTCCCTCTGCCCGCAGTGTGGGTGTCGGAGGTCATGCTGCAGCAGACGCAGGTGGCCACGGTGATGGACTACTACACGCGCTGGATGCAGGTGAGCTGCCCGCCTGCCCCGGGTCCCCTGCACGGCCCCTGCCCGGCTCTCCTCCCGTAACAGCACCCTGCTTCCTTTGCCCGCAGAAATGGCCGACGCTGCAGGCGCTCGCCGACGCGTCGCTGGAGGTGAGTCCTGGAGGAGCGGGTGCGAGTGCTGCTCTTGGTCTCTCAGCCCCGTAATGCCTCGCGCTCTTTTGGGACAGGAAGTGAACGCGCTGTGGGCCGGCCTCGGCTACTACTCGCGGGGGAAGCGGCTGCAGGAAGGAGCTCGCAAGGTACCCAGGGTGGGGGAGTTACCCTGTGGGGGGTATTTCCTCTTGCCAGTGGCTCCCAGGGGAAGCCCAGCACCTCGGTCCCTCTGCTCTGTCACCGGGGGGTCACTGGGAGTTGCAGCTGGGCTCTCAGTTGCCCCCTCCTCGAGTCAGGCATCCTGACCTGCTGTCTCACCGAGTCCCTCCTGCCCCCCAGGTGGTTTCCGAGCTGGCAGGTCGGATGCCCCGGACGGCTGAGGAGCTGCAGAAGCTGCTGCCAGGAGTGGGGAGATACACAGCAGGCGCCATCGCCTCCATCTCCTACGGGCAGGTGATGAGAGCGCTGCCCGGGTGCGACCGCGGCTGGGGATTGGGGCCCCATGGGCGGCTGTTCTGGTTCTTGTTGGGAACCGGCACCTCCTGCTTGCCGGTTGCCTGCCCTGGTGCCCGGGCCTTTCTGTTGGGTGCGACGTCTGCAGGACCCGCCAGGCTCTCCAAGGGGCACCGGGCGCCGAGAGGAGGCCTCGTGCCACAGCCTGGGTCTGGGGTGTCCGTGCCCAGCCCCAGCCTGGCCTTCTTGCCTGCTTGCGGCAGGCCTGGCCTCGCTCCTCACCCCAGAGGGACACGAGCCGGCCCAGGTGCCCGGAGCGTGGAAGCCTGCCCGGTAACCGCTGCCCGTCTGTGTCGCGCCAGGCCACGGGCGTGGTGGACGGGAACGTGACGCGGGTCCTGTGCCGCCTGCGATGCCTCGGCGCCGACACCAGCAGCCCACCCGTCACCGAGCACCTCTGGTAGGAGCTGCACCTTGTTCAAAGAGGCGAGGGGTGACGGGGCATGTTGGGCGGCACGGTGCTGGCTCCTGTCCCAGCAACGTTCACAGCACAAATGCACCAGCCTGGTCGGGGGGACTGAGGTGGGGCTTGTAGGGGTCTCAGGCTGTGGGCTGAGCCCCCGCTGATCCGGGGACGGCTGGGGCAGGGCGGCTGCTCTTGTCCCTGTCGCTCGCTCCTTCGCCAGGCCGCCCACACCCACTCCTGCCGCCGTTCCCTTGCAGGGGCCTGGCCCACACGCTGGTGGATCGGGCCCGGCCCGGAGACTTCAACCAGGCGCTGATGGAGCTGGGGGCGACCGTGTGCTCTCCTAAGGCCCCGCTGTGCGCGGAGTGCCCCGTGCGGCCGCACTGCTGGGCGCAGCGCAGGGTAGGTCCGGGCCCAGCCCATGCGGAGGGTTCGGCCTTGCACGTGGTTGAGGGGGCAGCTCTGCCACAGGCTTCCTTCATGGCCCTGGGCAAGTCCCTTTGCCTTGTGGGGTCGTTTCCCTCCCTGCCTAATGGAGCTGCGACTTGCTGAGCCCTGAGGTCCCCTCTGGCCCTGCGACGCCACGAACACAGACCTGCCTTCCTGCCGGGCTCGGGGCCCCCGTCAGCAGCAGGGACCGATGCCTGCGGGGAATGGCTGTAGGGGCCGGGCAATCTCACCCTGGGGCTGCATCATCCCCAGGGCAGCGTCTAGCCTGGTTCTGCCTGCCCCATCCCTTGTAGGCCTGTCTGTGGACTGGATTGGGCTCTGGAGCCAGCACCAGTGCCCAGGCCCGTTCCCATCGGGGGCAAGCCAGGGTCACGCCGTTGCAGGGCACGATGGCAGGGGGCCGCCCACACCGCACTCCCCATGGAGCCGCCAGCTCCGTGGGGGCGGGGAGCTGGGATGAGTGCACCCACCGCCCCGTCGCTGACCCCGTCTCCGTGCACAGGTGGAGAAGGAGCTGGAAGTTGCCTCCAGGAGACTGCTGGGAAAAGCCCCCTCCAGCTGCCCCCCAGAGCCTGACATCGAGGAGTGCGGTAAGTGCGGGAACGCGGTCGCCCCATGGGGAGGAAGCTGCTTGTGCCCCTTTGCTCACCCTCTGCAGGGTCCTATCTGGGTGCGGGCAGTGGTCTTGCAGGGACCGCCCGTGTGCTGGAGCCAGGCAGGGCAATGGGGCAGCTTCAGGGTCTCGTAGAGGTGGGTTTCCACGGGCAGAGCACTGGGGTTGAGCTCTAGGCACGGCGGGAGGAGGCAGGGCAGCCTCGGCGGGGTCTCGCCCCGCAGTCTGCCCGGGCTGGCCGAGGTCCCCGTCTGGGGTCCAAATTGTCGGCTGCCAGAGCAAGGTGCACTGACAGCGGGCGGTGGGTGCTCGCCAGCAGGGAAGCGGTGCAGGGGTCACGGGCTGACCCAGGGCTGCTCTCACATCTGCAGCCGCCGGTGCCTCGGGGAGCTGCCCCTTGTGCCCCCCTGCCTTGGAGCCATGGGATGGCAGCCTCAGGGTGGCCAACTTCCCCAGGAAAGCCGCCAAGAAGCAGCCCCGGGCGGAGCGGACGGCCACGTGCGTGCTGGAGAGGAGCGGCCGCCGCGGGGAGCCGGAGTTCCTGATTGTGCAGAGACCCAGCTCAGGTACCGGGGTCCGATGCTGAGAGCTGAAGGGGGGGCGGCTCCTTTCTGCAGAGAAGCAAAGCCCCTTCCTCATTGCGAGGCAGGCCAGCAGGACGCTGGGCAGTGTCCCTGCAAGTGCAGGGAGATGTCTCGTCCCCTAAATTCAGTGCCTGCCACACCGGGACTGCTCTGGGGCCTTGTGCTTTGAGGAGGAGGTGGGGAAATTAAAGAGTCCAGCAGAGAGCAACAGAAATGGGCGCCGACTTCAGGCTCGCGGTTCCTGCTGGCAGCCACGGGGCGTCCGTCTCGGGCGCTGAGACCCGCGGGGCTGGCTGCAATGTTTGTCTCCCCCAGGCTTGCTGGCGGGGCTCTGGGAGTTCCCCAGCCTGCTCGTGGCCCCGGAGCTGAAGGAGAAGCAGCAGAGGGAGGCGCTGGCGGGGCACGTCCGGGCCCAGACGGGCACGGCCGTTGCAGCAGGACGCCTGCGGCACGTTGGGGAGGTGAGTCAGTCCGCGCTGGGGTCAGTGCCGTGCCCTGTGGACCTGGCCTCCTTGACCGCTGGGGGCAGCTGCCACGTGCGCCTGGACAGGTGGGACCTTGCCCCAGGGCCCGGTGGTGCTGGGAGGGGGGTAGCAGTCGTGACAGGTTGCCGCTGGGCTGCCTGGCACGGCGTGTTGGTCGATTTTTGAAAGCCCGGTGGGGTCTTTTGCACCTGCTCCATCCTCCATTGCCCTGATTACAGCGCCCCCGGGTTCCCTGTTCAGCCCCAGTGCCGTGTGTCCCTCAGCCGGGTCCTGCCACTCATTGCCCCAAGGCTGAGAACAGACACAACTCGGCTCGCTCGTGGTTCCTCCCTCCCCACCACCCCTGCCCTGCAGATGCTAATGCCCCGTTGCCCCCTCTGCATCCCAGGTCGTCCACGTCTTCTCCCACATCCACCAGACGTACGTGGTGTACTCCCTGCTCCTCGACGGCCCCAGGGCCGCGGCGCCGGTGAAGCGGGAGGAGGAGCCGGAGCTGCCGGCGTCCCGGTGGGTGACAAAGGCTGATTTCCAGGCAGCCGCTGTCTCCACGGCCATGAAGAAGGTACCTGGGGGCAGGGTGCCCAGCCGTGCATGTCCCTCCCCTCTCAGGGTCTCTTGCTCTGCACCCCGCGGCCGTGGGGGCCAGCGGGCTCCCCTCCCCGGCCGGTGGGCTCAGCCCTGGTCTCCCCGCAGGTGCTGCAGGCGTGCGAGAGGCAGAGCCGCGAGGAGAAGATGCCCCGCACGGTGAGCACCTCAGCGTGGGCACGGCCAGTGTCCGGGACCACAGCACAGCATGTCTCAGCCCTGCCCTGCGTGGGTAGAGCTGGGGGAGTCTCTTCCTTCCCCCATGCGCAGGGCACTACTTGTCTGCTGGGACCCCCCGGGCATCTCCTCTTCTGCCCCTGGGGTCTCAGACCTTGACGGGCCCCTGCGCTCCTGCCCTCCCCCTGGGGCACTCGAATTCAGTCTCCTGGAGCACTTTGCTCCACACCTTGGGGTCACAGGTGGGGCCAGGAGGGGATTTTCTCCGCTTGTGGGAGGCGCTGGGGGGTGCCAGCGATGCTGCTGGTGCTGAGAAACCCAGAGGTCCCTGGCTGGGGACTGGCTCTCCCACTCAGGGGCAGACCCAGGGCCCCATGTGGAGTCAGGGAGGGATTTTCCCTTCGGTCTGCGGGGGCTTTGCCTTCCTCCAGCAGGGGCAGGTGCAACTCCTTCCCCCCCAGGGAGTGGTAGGGCCTTGGTGCCAAGTAGCTGCATGGCAGGGTTTGCCCTGGCTGTTTTGGGGGACTCCTTGCCTCCGTGGTCCCATGAGCGCAGGGGACTGGCTTTTTCCTCCATCCCTGAACCCTGCCCCCAGGTCTCCAAGCGGAAGCGGGGTGCCGCCGTCGAGGATGCCCCCCGCCCGCCTGGCCGGGTGAAGGTGGGCACGGATGCAGATGGCGGCCTGGCCAGGGGACAGCTCTCCCTTCACACCTTCCTCAAAGCAAAGTGACTGCAGTCTCCGGCTGGATCGGTCAGGGTTGGACCCCACCGGTGAGTCCTGGGGTGAAAGCTGTGGGGTGTCGTCCCCCGTTCGGCAGGGGCTGGTGTGCGGCTGGCCTCCCTGCGCTCCAGGAGCCGGGGGGAGCCTGGACTCCCCACAGACACCGGCTCCCCTCCCAGCTCCACGTTGCTGCAGATCACAGCGCTGGGTGCGTGGAGCCCGGAGGGGGCACAACGACCGAGGCACGGGGCCCTGCATCTCGGGCCTCCTTGTAGCTGCCTCAAACCGGAGCAAGAGGGACCGTCCCCAGGGAAAAGGAAACGTCCTCTCCTCTTGGCCAGCAGCTCCGGCCTGGTGAGAGGTGCTCACGTTTCATGGCGAGAAGCCGTGGGCTTCCCCAGGACGGTTTCCAGGCTCCGGCAGGACATGTCAGGCTGGCTTGTCGGCCCTGGACTGGAGACCCCTGCTCCCCCATGGAGCAGAGCTGCTGGCGGGGGACAGGTCGAGTGGGGTTTCTTTCTGGAGCAGCACCCCGAGTCCGAGCTTGGGGAGCTCCAGCTGCCCACTGCTGGGTCAGTCCCTGGCTCCCTGCACATCTGGACCGGACCAAATCTCCCTCTTGCACCCTGGGGGATTGTCCCGCTGGCTGAGGCTGCCGGCGGAGGAGCCTGGATGAGCGTATCATTCCCATTTCAGATCATCACTATTCTTTTAGGGTATTTAGTCCCGTGAGTCTCTCCTGGCTTATTGGATGCTTCTGCTAGACTTTGCAAGAGTGCTGGGTCCCGTCTATAGTTATGGGCTTATATTGAGGGGAAAAAACTGGGTTTTTTGGGTTTTTTTAAACCCTCAAAACTGAACCTGAGACCAGAGGGTCAGCCTGCGCGTGGTTGACTCGGATGCAGGGTGGACTCGTCATCGGAACAGGATGTTTCCTGCAGGGTGAGGCGCCAACACCCTTCCCTGCCATCTCCCCCCTTGGTAACGGTGGGGTCTGTGTGCACCTAGGGATGGGAAAATGATGCCACGGGGAGCCAGCTGCATCTCCACCCACTGCCCGTCTGCTCCTCCCAGCAGCCAGAGAGCCCCGCGAGAGCCCTGCCGGCGGTAGAGTCCCGGCTCTCTGGAAGGCTATATCAGATGCTGGTCGGAGCACCAGGTGCCGGTTCCTTTTATCTCTGCTTTTACCAATGTTTTCCTAATAAATCCTCTTTTTTTTTACTAAGACGTTTAGAAGTCAGGTTTGTGGCTCCACTCAGCGTCATACGACTCCCTCCTTCCTTGAGCCCTGGAAGCAAAATAGCAGGGAAATGCCCGACCCCAGCCAGGGTGGAGGTAGCCAGGCAAACAGCGTGGGAGACGGGTCTGAGGCCAGGCAGAGCTGTGCAGGACAAAGAAACCAGCTTGGGCCACGTGAGCGTAGTGGGATTCACTGCTCCGTGGGCAAGCGGCCACCTCCTGCACTTGCTGCATTGCCCCCCCCGTCAGCGCTGTGTGCGGGGCGCAGTGCCCCTGGACGCGCAGACCATGCCCGTTCCCTGTCCCTGGCAGAAGAATCGGGGTGTGTTGCATGCAGCCCGGCAACAGAAAGCTCCTCGTGGGCAGGAAAAAGCAGCATTTCTGACTTTTAATTCAGTAATTCAAGTAACCAACATGTTCCTGGCCCTTATGGGGTAAGTCTTCCCTGTGGGAGGAAAGAGCAGGAGTGTGTGCTGGCAAAGGCAGAGCAGGGGCTGCCCTCCTGCCCCGGGGGCTGGGGAACAGCAGCGCGGTGCTGTGCTGTTTCGGGCAAGGCTGGGGCCGAGCTGCTCCCGAGACCCGAGGACGGGGCAGGAGTGTGGTTACAGGGCCCTGCTTTCCCCTCTGCAGCCCTGGGAGTCCTCCAGGCTCCAGCCAGGGGAAGCCCTGCGGCTAGCGGGTGCTCACGGGGCTCTGGAGGGTTTACGTAGCTTCTAGCCCCGGCCGTGGCCCCGGGAGGGACGGGCCCCGTCCTGGCCATCAGCCTCCCTGGAGCTCTGCTCTGGCCTGGCCTCAGGACCCTGCTAGAGGCTGCATGAGACGGGAGCTGTCCCACGGGCTGGGTGGAGAGGGCAGTAAAGCCCCGTGAGCGCCCGATGACTCAGGAATGGTGAGAAATTGGTGCAGCCCCAGCTGGAGCGGCCCCGGGAACGTCGGCTCCCCCCAGCCGCCCTTCTGCCTTCCCAGGGGGGTGAACCAAGGGCCCCTCAACCCACTTATAGCCTCCGTGGGAGCCATGGCACTGGATAAGGATCGACCCCTGGGCACTGGGAGAGGGGAAGAGGACAAGCAAGCCACGGGCCAGGGGCCTGACTGCCCGAGGGCTTTGCAGACCTCCATCCCCTTCTCCCCGCCACCCGCAAGGCACCCCTAGAACTGCTGGCCTGGCCTAACACGGGCCCCTCGTGAGGCCGTGGTGTTGTCCTAGTGCTGCCGGTCCATGTAGCCCTGTACAGACTTCCACAGGGCCCGGATGTTGCCCTCCCCGAAGCCCAAGGCCCCCCGGCGCTCGATGAGCTCCAGGAAGAAGGTCTCCTCGGGGAAGAAAGGCTTGGTGAAGATCTGCATCAAGTACCTCCTGGCTGAAGGGCTCTCCCCAGCCAGCTCCGCGTCCAGCAGGATGCCGTGCCGTGCCAGCGCCCCGGGGTCCTGTCCAGCCCCCTGGATCTCTTCCGTCTTACCCGCCTCACTGTAGTAGGTGCGGGGAGGCTCCACAAACTGCACGCCGGTCGCTGCCAGGGTCCGGGCCGTGGAGACGATGTCCGTGGTGTAGAGCCCGATGTGCTGGACGCCGGCCCCGCCGTGCTGCTCCAAGAAGGTGTCCACCTGGTTTTGCCCCTGCTCCGGCAGGGACTCGGCCAGCACCAGCTTGCAGCCGTCCGCGGGCCGGGCCCGCTCAGCTCGGCCACCCTGCAGGGCCATGAGCCGCAGCCCCATGCCCCGACCCCGGATCACGTAGCCTTCGCCTGCATCCTCGGCCCCGTGCAGGAGGAAGCGCTGGAAGCCGAAGCAGCTCTCATACCAGTCCAGCACGGTGCGTGCGCTGCCCCGGGGGCAGGCGTACGTGATGTGGTCCACATGGCTGATCTCGGCCCCATCCGGCGGCCCCTCAGGGGCAGCGGTCACCGCGTGGAAGCCGGGCAAGAAGGGTCCTCCGTATCGGGAGCGGTCCAGCAGGGTGTGGCTGACGTTGCCCACGATGGACCGCACCACGGAGTAGGTGACGGAGCCGTCGGCGTCCGTCACCTCGGTGGGTGGCACAGCCAGGCGGCAGCCCCGGTCCTGGAGGCGCCGGGAGACGCCGGGGACATCCTCCAGCTCGAAGCACACGTTGCAGGCCGTGCTCACGGCATACGCGGGGTCCACGTCGTACAGGAAGTCGCCGGCTCCAGGGCCCGGCCACGGCCACGTGGGACCAGAGGACGGGGCTGCCTCCCGCCTCTCGTTGACGATGAAGACGGCAGCGCCTTTGCAGACAGCCAGCTGCCGGGCGCGCGCCGTCTCCCGCACGGCCACGGGGCGGAAGCGAAACTTGGTCACCAGGTTGCTGGCCAGGCCCTGCCCGCGGGGCACGTGGAAGGCGACGTGGCACAGGCGGCTCACCGCCGCCG